TTAGCCATCAGGAAAATGCAAATCAAAATAACTCTGAGATTCCATCTTACATTCATCAGAATGTCTAAGACCAAAATCATAAGTGACAGCTTATGCTGTCCAGGACACAGAGCAAGGGGAATACTCCTCCATTGCTGGTGGGAGTGCAAACTTAAAAACTTGTACAACCACTATGGAAAAAAATATGGTGGTTCCTTAGGAAGCTGGAAATCAGGTCATCTCAAAACCCAGCTATATCACTTCTAGGCATATACCCAAAGTATACTCCATTCTATTACAAGGACACTTGCTCAACTATGTTCATAGCAGCTTTATTCATAATAGCCAGAAACTGGAAACAACCTAGTTGTCCATCCACTGAGGAATGATAAAGAAAATGTGGTATATTTACATAATAGAGTATTCCTCATCTATAAAAAAACAATGATATCATGAAATTTGAAGACAAATGGGTGGAACTAGAAAAACTCATCCTGAGTGAGATAACCCATAGAAAAATATGGTATGTTGTTGATGGCAGATGCTCTTTTGTTCCTGGCCTCCGAGACCCAAATAATCACACAGAAACTATATCAATTACAACACTGGTTGGCTTATTAGCTCAGGCTTCTTGTTAACTAACTCTTGCATCTTAAATTAAGGCGTTTTTATTAACCAATGTATTACCACAAGGTTGTAGCCTACTGCTAAGGTTCCAGCATCTGTCTCCTTCATCAGTTACATGGCATCTTCCTGACTCCGCCTACTTTCTCTATATCTCTGTTCAGATTTCCCACCTGGCTTTACTCCGCAAGCCATTGGCCGAGATAGCTTCTTTATTAACCAATGGTACTAAAACATAATCATAACATACAGCGGGAAATCCCAAATCAGTGTGTACTCATGTATAAATGGACATTAGATGCTGCAGTTCATAAGCCCAGAAAGACTAAGTAACAATGAGAGCTCCAGGTGCAGGCAGGGAAAGTAGAATATATTTTTCTTTTGGTAGACTGGGGGCAGGTGGGGACAGGAACAGGAGGACTCAGGAGGGGTGGAGTGCTGGGAAATTATGAAGAAATCTAGCGCCGTGGGAACTCCCTGGAATCCCCAAAAGTGAATCTAGTGAGATCTCCTAGTAAAATGGGGGATACAGAGCTGGAAACGGCCATCTTCAATAATGAGGCAAGGCTACTAGTAGTGAGCCGGGGCACTAGCCTGGCCACAAAACCGTTGACCTACAATCTGGCCTTGCTGCAAGATGTGACAGAGTAATAGTGCACTTGTGGGAGTGGCCAGACTGGTCCAACTTGAGGTCTGCAGACCATAAAGTTGCCCATGCCTGACACGGTTGGATGGTCAAGAGCCAGAGGCTGCATGTCCCTGAGACTTAGGACAGAACTAAATATGACTGGCAAAAGCGTCAATGAAATGATTCCTAATGATACTCTGCTATACTTATCGATTGGTGCCTAGCCCAGTTGTCTTCAGAGAAACATCGACCAGCAACTGATAGGAACATCTGAAGAGATCCACAGCCAAACATTAGGTGCAACCAGGGGAGTTGTGCAGAAGACGGGGAGGAAGGATTCTAGGAACCAGAGGGGTCAAGAAGACCACGAGAAGAGGACCCACAGAATCAACAAAGGAGGGATCATTGGAGAGTACAGAGACTGTAGCCACAATGACAGACCCTGTATGGGTCTGAGCTAGATTCTCTGCATGTACGTTGTGGTTGTATAGCTTGGTATTCTTGAGGGACTCCTAGCAGTGGGGGGTGGGTAGATATCTCAGATGCTTTTGCCTGCCCTTGGTAGCCTTTTCCTCCTACTGGATCACCCCGTCCATCCTTGATATGAGGGCTTGTGCCTGGTCTTATTGTAATTTGTTATACTGTGTTTGGTTGATATTCCTGGTCTGCTCCTTTTGTTGCAGTTGTTTTTGTTTGTTTGCTTGAAGAGAAATGGAAGAGGAGATCTTCTCCCAGTCGGAAGGAAGCCTTTTGGTCTTACTGACAGTGTCCTTTGCTTTACAGAAGCTTCTCAGTTTCAGGAGGTCCCATTTATTCATTGCTTTTCTTATTGTCTGAGCTCCTGGGGTTCTGCTTAGGAACTGGTCTCCTGTGCCTATATCTTGTAGACTACTTCCCACTTTCTCTTCTATCAGTTTCAAAGTGGTCAGATTAATGTTGAGGTCTTTAATCCATTTGGACTTGAGTTTTGTGCATGGTGATAGATATGGATCTATTTTCATTCTTCTACAGGTTGACATCCAGTTATGCCAGCACCATTTGTTAAAGATTTAGGGTTTACAGGAGACTTGATTATATATGGGATCCCAGGTCCAAGGAGAGATCCCCAGATTGTTCTCTGGACAGAGGAGAGGGTGCCTGAACCGGCCGTGGCCCATAACCATACTGATGTATATTTTGCTTATCACCATAGATCCTTCATCTGGCGAAGGACGGCGATACAGATGGAGACCCACATTGGAGCACCGGACTGAGCCCCCCAAGGTCCAAATGAGGAGCAGAAGGAGGAAGAACATGAAAAAGAAAATCAGGACTGCGAGGGATGCTATCACCCACTGATACAAGGGAACGGATCTAATGAGAGTTTACCAAGGCCAGTTGGACTGGGACTGAACGAGGATGTGATCTAACCAGATTCTCGGAATTTGGCCGGATTCTCTGAATGTGGCTGGCCCGAAGTCTTTCTGAAAAGCCATTGACTATGATACTGGGACTTGTTTCCTCTGCATATACTGGATTTTTGGGATCCAGTCTGTTTGGATACTCACCTGCCTGGACCTGGAGGGAGGGGGGAGGAACTTGAACTTCCCACAGGGCAGGAAACCCTGACTGCCCTAAGGGACGAAGAGGGAGAAGGAGAGGGAGTGGGGGGAGTGGGAGGGTGTTGGAAAGAGGGGCGGAAATGTAAACTTTTATAATTTAATAAAATTTACTCTCAAAAAAAAAAAGAATTGGAAGAGGAGTTGATATTGGGGAAAGGAGTGGTAGAGGGGACAACTGGGAGGAATGGGAGTAGGGGGAACTGCAGTCAAGATGTAATACATATATTAAAAAGTTCCTTTGAAGTCATAGTAAAACTAAATAAATTAAATAATTTTGAAAAAACCCACAGGTAAAACATAACGTGTTCCCAATAGTTGAACAAATTTTACAGTGTATGGTGCTGTATTCTTAACTATAGAAATCGTGTTGACTAACTATCTAGAATGCATTCATTTGGGAGACTGAAGCCTCATGGAAGGAACAGCAGCCACCCATTTTATACTCTTTTATGAATACCTCATACACATGGATCATGCCGTGTTTGTCCGTCTGGGACTGGCTTACTCTGATCAGGTGAACTAGAACAGACACTCCTCCAAGAGAGGCTTAAGGAATCTTACTGACACAGGCTCAGAAGAATGCCGAGGAACGGTTCTAGAAAATGGAAGAGGGAAAGTCTTGAACACCGTGGTTCTCAACCTTGATGTTTCAACTGTTTCGTACAGTTCCTCATGCTGTGCTAACCCCCAGTTGTGCAATTATTTTTGTTGGTCTCTCACAACTGTAAGTTTGCTACTGTTATGAAGTGCACTATAAATATCTATTTTCTTATGATCTTAGGTAACCCCTATGAAAGGGTCATTTGACTCCCAAAGGAGTCGTGACCCACAGGTTGAGAATCACTGCTCTAACCGTTTCTAAAGATGCCCTAAATGATGTGTATGGCTGTGATAGGGCTAGAATCAAAGCAGAGAGACCCAAGTTCAACAATAAGGAATGCTCAGTGCAGTGTGAGAAGGAGGGGGAAGGGCCCGCGGCTCTATGGGAGGTTGGGTAAGACTGATAGAATAGAAATTTCTGGATGTGATAAGTGAGAACACAGTGTACTGTTATATTTGGCAGTTGTTTTAATGGTGTTCTGTGTTTGTTCGAGCACGTCATTGGCAGTTCCGTGTCCTCACAAGAGACGTGGAGGGCAGGAGCGTTTGCTGTTCTCACTCTCTCACCACCTTCGCTGTCTCCACTGGAGAAGGTTGGCTGTGCTTGTTGGTATTTCATATCAAAGTCTGTGACACCTTGTGGCCATTCTGCCCTCATGGCGAATGCCGCTCATCTACACAGGTTGTTATTGAATTACTTGAAAATAGTTTTAACCAGATGGACAAGTAGGTGAGAATGTCACTCATAACATTGTGGTAAACATGTTTAAGACAAAACTGAATCTGATGATGGTTCTGCGGTTACACACTGTGTGCTCTTTAATTAAAGTTAGAACATGACACCTTCTAGGTAGATGGAACTCAGGGTGGAGGTGGGTCTGACAGAGAATGGGTTTCCTGCTGCAGGACTCTCCAGAACCTTTAGTCAGCCTTGGGGATCAGCTGTTTTAATTTACAGCTCAGGACAAGCCACCTGTCAGTCAACTAAACTGATTAGCCAACTGATCCAAGCATGGGATAAAATATAACAAGCATCTTACATAAATACTGAACATTAGTATTTTTCTACCATGTAAATAAATCACTAAGCACATTTAAACTTTATGGTTTTATCATAATTACTGAGGTTTAATTTTTTATTTTTTGTCTTAACTTGGTTAGGGTCATGCTAATTCCTTAGAAGGCATTTGGAATTGTTTATTCTCATGCAACTTCTAAAATTTCCTTCCTTGTTTAAGTTTTTCATGTTCTATTAATTTTTACTTAACTTTTTTTCAAGCAATGTATTATTTCCCCTCTCCAAAATCTCCCAGGGCCTCCCCAGTTTAGGCAGTATTGGTTGCAGCTCTTCTCTGCAGGGCTGGTAGAATTGTGCTGTGAATCCATCTGGGCCTGGCTCTTCCAACTTGAATACTTCCTTTCATCTCTACCAATACTTTATCTAAAACTTCAAATAATTCTAGTTTCAATATGGTTATTGTTATATTTCCTCTTTTCCTTTCTGTTATTTTCTAAGACATTATTCATGAGTATATTGTGTGTGTGTGTTGCAGGCTGTATGGGGAGGTTGCGGAGGCAGGATAATGAGGCAACGAGTCACACTATATCCACTGTCAGGAAACACAGAGAGATGAATGTTGGTGTTTCTCCAGTTTGTTCAGTCGATGACCCCCGTTGATAGAATTGTGTCACCCTTCAAGGTAGGTATTACACATTCCCAGTTAACTCATTGTGGAATCACCCCGAAAGACACAACTGGATATGTGTTCTTGTGGTGATTATAAAACTTACAATAAAGATAAACTATCATTATCTATGTATATGTAGTAAATACATATATTTACATGCATAATTTACATGTATATACAAATGTAGAAATATGTAATTGTTTAGGAGTGTAAAATGTTGCAAAGAGATGGGTTAATGATCTTCCTAAATTCATAATTTACTTTCTGTGTCTTTATTTATATAATGAGAACAAAAAATATTAGATTGGAAACTAACACATATGAAATTACTTTGAAGATTCAGGCACATTGTAAACACCGAGGAAGTATTTATTGAATTCTCACATAGTTAAATCATTAAAAACTTTATTTGGGCAAGATTAGGAGGCAAAGCCAGAACACCCCTGTTGTGTGACTTTCCCTGGTAGATATGAATAAATATTTATTTACACCAGATAAGGGACCAGTCACAGTCTAAAATGTGGATTCCAGCAGTTTCCAACTTGGCTGACCACTGAATGTACCGGGCTTACTTACTGCAGTGTAGTTGAAGCTTCTTGACAGGAAAATCGACTCCAAAGCAGCTGCATCGCAGCGTGAATGAGGACCCACCACAGCTGTGATCCTGGAGCTCCTTGAATGATTTTTAGAGAGCTAGATGGATGAGACTGGAGAGTCTCTGCTCCCCAACATTTCTGACTGCTCATGTAATCTCAGGGATGGGGCAGGGTTGTGGATCTTGTAAGCTTCAGAAACTTCTGGTGACCTGTGTGTCGTTTACTTCCTGAACCTTGTCAGGTTTGTTTATGTGCTAAGTTCTAAAGAGCAGCCCTTCCTGCTCCACTGCCAGGATAGGGTGTCATGATTTAGGGGAAATTGATACACAGCAATCCGAAAGGCTCTGTCACCTCTTGTTCTCTTGCCTGGCTCCTTCTGCTCAGGAAATGACATATTTCAGTCCTTTTGTCTCTTATGTCCAGGAACTCTTACTTTTAGATGTTCTAAGATGGCTCACAAATAGCTACAAGGATTTTTATCTTTTACAAATAGAGTCATTAATGAAGGGACCAGGACTAGTTGTCCCCGCCACCAGGGGCCAGTTTGCTAAGACCTCTGCCTCACATTACCTCACAATCCTATGGAGACTCATGTCTGGCTGCAACCAGACCTTCAGAAAGTATGACCAGTCTGGTAGCCAATTAGGTTCCTACCTGGTCACAAGCAAGAGCTGTTCTTGATATTTTTAATCAGACAGACCCCTGACAATCCTATCTCCTTTGTTATTGTGACTCATTTAGATCTCCTTCATATATATTCTTGTTAGGAAGTTTCTACTGTATTAGGTTTCCATATGGGCCCTCAAATAGCCTGTAGTTTTAGCTGTCCCTTCCTGTATTCTTTCCCTCCTCTTCCCACCCCTTCCTCCTTTTCCTTTTGCATTTTGTCCTTCTGTTCCATTTTTCATCCATCTATAACTATCTATTTATTTTGCCCTTCCTAGGGAGATCAATCCATTCCCTCCTACTCCCTCACTCTATACCTAACCATTGTGGTTCTAAATGATTGTAGCTTGGTTATCATAGACTTAACAGCTAATATCCACATACAAGAGAATATATACCATATTTGTGTTTCTAGATCTGTGATACCTCACTCAGAATGTTTTTTATTGAGCTCTACCCATTTACCTGTGGATATGATTGTTTCGTTTTTTAAAAGCACTCAATATTCCATTGTATAAATGTACCAAATTTTCTTTATCCTTTCATATTTTGAAGGACATCTAGGTTGTTACCAATTTCTTGATATTATGAATAGAGCAGTAATGAACATGATTGAGCAAGTGTCTCTGTGGTAGGCTGAAGTTTCCTCTAGGTATATGCCTAAGGGTGGTACAGCTGAATCTTGAGGTAGATAGATTCCCATCTTCCTGAGGAAATGGTACACTGATTTCCATAGTGACTGTAAAAGTTTGCAGTCCCACTAGCAATGGATAAATGTTCCCCTTACTCCACATTCTTACCAACATGAACTGTCATTTGTTTTATTAACCTTGGCTATTCTGACTGTTGTAAGATGAAATACCATAGTATTTTTGGTTTGTATTTTCCTGATGTCTAAAGATGTTGAACATTTCTTCAAATATTTCTCAGCCTTTTGTGTTTCCTCTTTTGAGAATTCTATTTAGATCTGTACCCCATTTTTAATTCAGCCATTTGGTTTTTTTGATATTTAGTTTCTTGAGTTCTTTATATATTTTGGATATTAGCCCTCTATTGGATGTGTATTGGTAAAAAATATTTTTCCATTCTGTAGGTTGTTGCTTTGCCCAATGTTGACACCAATTGCCATAAGAAGCTTTTAAGTTTCAGGAGGTCCCATTTATTAATTTTTGTTCTAAGTGCTTATGCAATTAGCATCCTGTTCAGAAATTCTTTTCCTGTACCAATGAATTAAAGCTTATTCCCCACTTTCTTTTCTATCAGACCTTCGGTATCAGGTTTTAGACTGATGTCGTTGATTCATTTGGATAGAATTTTGTGCTGTGTGAAAAGGATAGATTTATTTGCATTTTTCTACATGCAGATACTCAGTTTGACCAGCACTGTTTGTTGAATATGCTTTTTTCTAGTGTGCGCTTGTGATTTCTTTATAAAACAAACAAACAAACATATTCAGGTGACTATAGAGGTATGGACTTATGTCTGGGTCTTCCATTTGATTCTATCAATCAATGTCTGTTTTTGTGCTAATACCATGCTGTTTTTATTACTATTGCTTTGTAATAAAATTTGAGATTAGGGATGATGATACACATAGTATTTCTTTTTATTATTCATGATTTTTTTTCTATTCCGGCTTTTCTGTGTTTCCACATGAAGAGGAAAATTGTCTTTTCAAGATTTGTGAATAGTTGTGTTGGAATTTTGATGGGAAATACATTGAATCTATAGATTGCTTTTGTTAGGATGGCCATTATTATGTCAATTCTACTGACCTATAAGTATGGAATATCTTTCCTTCTGATATCTTCAGGTTATTTCTTCAACCCCTTAAAGTTTTTGTTGTACAGGTCTTTCATTTGCTTTGTTAGTTACCCTAAGATATTTTATTCATCCATCCATCTTTCCATCCATCCATCCATCCATCCATCCGTCCGTCTGTCCATTCATGTGTTTATTTTAGGCTACTGTGAAAGGGGTTGTTTCCCTGATTTTGTCCATAGTCCATTTGTCATTTGTGTATGGGAATGTACTGATTTTTGTGTATTGATTTTGTGTCCTTCTACTTTGATGAAAGTGTTTATCAGGTGTTAGAGTTTCTTGGTAAAATTCTTAGGTACATATGTGAACTACCATATCATCTGCAAATAAAGTTATTTTGTCTTCTACCCTTCTTATTTGTATTCCCTTGATCTCCCTCAGCTGCCTAGTTACTCTAGCTAAGACTTCAGGTACTATATTGAGTAGGTATGGAGAGAATGCATAACCTTGCCTTATTCCTGATTTTAGTATAAAGCTTTCAATTTCTCTCCATTTAGTTTCCAAGTTGGCTGTGAGCTTGATATAAATTATTTCTATTATATTGAGATATGTTCCTTATATCCCTAGTCTTCTCAGGGCATTTATTATGAAGTGGTGTTGGATTTTTTTCAGAGGCCCTTTTTGCATCTAAAGAGATGATTATGTGGATTTTGTATTTTGGTCTGTTTATATGGTGGATTACATCTATTGATTTATATATGTTGTATCATCCCTGAATCTCGGGTTTGATGCCTATTTGATCATGGTGGATGATATTTTTAATGTGTTCTTGGCCTCAGTTCACAAGTATTTTGAGAGAATTTTGTATCTGTGCTCAAAATGGAAATTGATCTATAATTCTCTTTCTATGTTCAGTCTTTGCGTTGCTTGTGCATCAGAGTAATTCTGGCGTTGTAAGAAGAGTTGGGCAATGCTCCTTTTGTTTCTGTTTTGTGGGCTAATTTGAAGAATACTGGCATTAATTCTTCTATGAAAATCTGGTAGAATTCTGCTTTTATTTCACTGGGGGATATATGCCTGTTTGAGTTGTTTATCTGATCTTGATTTAACTTTTTAGGTGGTATATATCAAGAAAACTAACATTTTCTCTTTTTTCTTTCACTTTTAATTTGGTAGCGTACAGATTTTAAAGTATGTCTTTATTAGTCTCTTGATCTCATTGCTGTCAGTTGTTATGTCTCCTCCTTCATCTCGACTTTTGCTTTTTTGGTTCTTCTTTCTCCACTTCTTAGTTAATTTGAATAAGAATTTGTCAGTCTTGTTGATTTTTCTCAAAGAATCAACCTTTTGTTTATTGAGTCTTTGTAGTTTTTTATTTTATGTGTTTCAGTCCTGAGTTTGAATTTGATTGTTTCTTTCCATCTTCTTCGTTTAGGTGTCATTTTTTTTTTTCCTTTTTGTTCCAAAGTTTTCAGGTGTGTTCTTAAGTTGCTAGTAGGAGATTGCTCCAATTTTGTAGGTACTTAGTGCTATGAACTTTCCTTTTAGAACAGCCTCCATTATGTCCCAGAAGCTTCAGTATGTTGTGTATTCATTTTGTTCAATTCTAGAAAGCCTTTGATTTCTTTCTCAACTTCTTCTGTCTTGACCCATTTTTCAATCCCTGTGTTTGTAAGCTTTCTGTTGTTTCTGTTGTTGTTAATATCCAGCTTTAATGCATGATGGTCAATTAGGATGACAGATGTAATTTCAATTTTCTAGTATCTGCTGAGACTTGCTATACATCTGAGTGTGTGGTCAATTTTGAAGAAAGTTCCATGAACCAGGCCATGGTGGCACATACCTTTAATTCCCTATCAGCCTATGTTGCCCCTTTTTTTAGGGCTTGCTGTAGTAGAGTTGATGGGATTTAGTAGATACAATTTATCTTTACTATTACTGTCTGTGATGTTATGTGTATTGGTGTCTCTGCTTCTGGGTATGGGATGA